TATTCACTAACTAGATAGTAGACAAGAATTATCTTAGGTGAAGGGAAGGACAGCACACATTACAGGGGAAGTGAGCACAACTGGACTAAACCAAAGCTAAGAAGTTTCCTCAGTACAATCAAATACTCTGAGAGACAGAGTAACAAGGATGCGGGGTCTGGGGACCATGCTTTCAGGGGACATCTGTGTCAATTGGCATAACAAAGTTTATTAAGAAAATGTTCTGCATCCTACTTTCGTGAGTGGCATCTGGGGTCTTAAAAGCCAGCAAGTGGCCATCTAAGATGCATCAATTGGTCCCAACCACCTGGAATAAAGGAGAATGAAGAACACCAAGGACAAAAGGAAAGTATTAGCCCAAGAGACAGATAGGGCCACATAAACCAGAGACTTCATCAGCCTGAGACCAGAAGAACTAGATGGTGCCCAGCTACCACCAATGACCTCCCTGACAGGGAACACAACAGAGAGTCCCTGATGGAGCAGGAGAAAGGTGCGATGCAGAACTCAAATTCTAATAAAAAGACCAGACTTAATGGTCTGACTGAGACTGGAGGAACCCCAGAAAGCATGGCCCCCAGACTCTCTGTCAACCCAGAATTAAAACAATTTCTGAGGTCAACTCTTCAGACAAAGATTGGACTAGACTATGGGATATAAAATGATACTTGTGAAGAGTGTGCCTCTTAGCTTAAGTAGATACATGAGACTAAATGGCCAGCTTTTGTCCAGAGGTGAGATGAGAGGGTAGAGAGGTTTAGGAGCTGGTGAATGGATATGGGAAATTGGGTGTGGAAGGGAGGAGTGTGCTGTCACAGTATAGGGAGAGCAATTGGGATCACATAACAATGTATGTATAAATTTTTGTATGAGAGATTGACTTGAATTATAAACCTTCACTTAAACTACAACAATAAAAAAAATAAAATAAAACAGACATACCAGCATGGTATTTTATCTCAAGTCATATTCAAGTTCCTGATTTCATCTTTTAAGAAAGTTAGATTTATCCAGAATTAATCTTTTAGATTTATTCAGGATTAATGATTGTGAGGATGGCTCTGAACTGGGCAGTGTTTTGTTCTGCTGTACACAGGGTCGCTATGAGTTGGAACTGACTGGATGGCACCTAACAATGACAACAATCTTTTGCCAATGTAGTATGACAAAGTAGAGGGAGTTGAGTGAGCTGAGAGCGGAATGCAGGGGAATTGATAATAATTGATCACAGATTTAAGACAGAGATGGGGGTGGACTAGGGGAGGTGACAGACCGTTAAAATATAGTAGGGCTAACTGATTATAGGTCCTGGTAGAGAAAAAGATTATAGAAGTCAGAGTAAAGGAGGCCTGGCGGCACAAAGGTTAAGAGCTCTCTGCTAATTGAAAAGTTGATAGTTCGAACCTACCAGCTGCTCTGCAAGAGAATGTCCTGCTGATCTGTTTCCATAAAAATTACAGCCAAGAATACCCTATGGGGCAGTTCTACTCTGTCACAAGAGAGCACTATGAGTAGGAATCGACTCTACAGCACCTAAAAACAACAATGGGAGTCAGAGTATTGTAGGAAGTAAACTGGAAAGATAGGAGGTTCTGGTCAGAAAGTGACATGCTTGAAACTGAGATTCTAAAGTGATTGCACTCTGGTAACAAAGAAGTCTGGAGTATGGCCTTGGGTGTGGGTTGCTGAGATAGGGTGGAGGACAAAATCATTAGAGGAGAGGATTTCAAAGAACTGAGAGACCAAACTATTTAAAAATATATGTATAAAATCTATGTGGATTTTGATGTTACCAAAGATCAAGTCAGGAATAGTACTGTTGATAGTGAGAGATGTCAACAGGGAAAACCATACAGCAATGAGTGGGATTTCCCCATTCCTCTGCCACAGGAGAGGGAGTGCATGGTATAGTCTGATCCTGTAAGATTGTTAACTGGATGATAAAAGGAAGAGAGAAGGAAGATGGTCTAAAAATGGCAATCAGAAGCAAGCAGGCAACTACACTGCAAGATAAGTGACATGAGGGCTATGGAAGAAAAATAGCCACTGACGGAAAGGGCCCCAGGGGAAGCAGTATCTTTAAGGGAGAGCCGAGTTTCAAGCAGAATGAAAAGATGAATGAACATTCAGAGTAGAAGCTGAGAATATAGCAACTCTCCTGATAGTGGACTCTGTGTTCCAGAGAGCACAGTGCAGGGATTTCAGAAGTTAGGAATGGGTAGAAGATGGAACTGAACAGGAAATGTGCAGAGCTTTGTGGGTATTAGAGTACGGACGGTGAGGGGGCTGTGGGAGTTGGGCTTCTCACTGAGAATGAAATGAACAGGTAAAGGCAAAATGCACCTCATCCTAGTGGTCTCTAAGTAGACGATGGTGGAAAGGCTGCATGTGCTGGGAAAATGGAGGGATTTACCTCATCCCTGTGTAAAAGGAGGGTCTAGGGAGGGGCTTGTTACTCAGAGGTGGCAGGGGCGTTGCTTTTGACCCCGCCACAATGTCCTTTCCCCATTTTGGCTTAGGCATCATCACCAGGTTTCCTATCACCCATTTTCTCCGTAGGGCTAAGGTGCCCCCCCATATGCTTTATCAATAGTCCATGCAAATATCCATATTACACTATCTCAATTTTCTTTAAAATTATTTTTTTGTATATGTATGTATGTATAGACTTGTTTGTGTGTTTTACTTGTATAGAATTGTTTATACATTGTATGAACTCTTCAAGGGCAGAGAGAATATTTCCTTTACCTAACTACCCTTGCTCCTATCACAGTTCCTGGATCTGAGTAGGCATTCAAGATATGCTTACTCTTTAAATGAATGATCTTGTTGAAGTCTTGGCTATTTAGTCAGTTGTGACCACAAGATCCACATTGTGGAACATAGACATGATTTTAGCCTAAAAAATTCCAAGTGTTGCCTGAAATAAAAACAAAAATTGTATCCTCCCATTTATAATTTACTTAAATGTGTGAGAATCAAGCACTTGTACCAAGAATATTGTGTTAATGAAAAATGATTCTATAGACCAGTGGTTCTCAAAGTGTTGTTCAGGGACCAGTAGCCACAGCATCTGGTGAAGCTAACTTACTAGAAATACAAATTCTTGGGTCCCACAATAGCTCTTCTGAATCAGAAACTCTAAGGTGGGGCCTATCAATCCGTGTTTTAACAAGCCCTCCAGGTACTATTTATGCATGCTACAGTTTGAAAACCACTGCATTAAACTAAGTCGTAATGTATAATTTCTGACATAATTAAAAAGATATTGAGAAAAAGAGCATGAGAAAGGGGGTCCTGTAATCTAAACAATCTACATTAATTGTATATTCTCAAAATTATTAGGAACACTAAGATCAATCATTAATTATGATACTAATAGTAAAAGTTGGTAACTTCTATGACTGATATTTTCAACTTAATTAGACATAAGACAAATATTTCATCTTTCTGCATAATGTAATATAATTCCAAACCAAACCCATTGCTGTCAAGTCGATTCCAACTCACAGTGACCCTACAGGACAGGGCAGAACTGCCCCATTGGATTTCCAAGGAGCGGCTGGTGAATTCAAACTGCCAACCGTTTGGTTAGCAGCCAAGCTGTTTTAAAAACTATTAATCATTATATACTAGTTTTTCAAGTATGGGAAATCACTCTAAATAAAATTTATAGAATACTAAAATAATACATTTACCTTGAACATAAATTCTTCCCTTGTATTTATCCTTTCCTCTGATGTTCTCAGCTTCACATTCATATGTGCCTTCATCTTCCAACTGTATATTGAAGATCTTGAGGACAGCCCCAGAAGTACTGATCTCAGCAGTGCTTGGCATTGGTTCTAGGACCTTCCGCCACCGGATATCAGGAACAGGACTTTAAATGAAAGACACAAGTGCTAAGGGTCCACAAAGTTTAAACGACAATTATTTATATTTATTGCTAAATATTTACATAATTTATCTTCTAAAATGGTATAAAAATTAACAGTTTATATATATGTTAATTGAATATATAAATATACTTACTTTCCAAGAGCAAAACACTCTAAAGTCACATTTTGGCCCATCAATGCATATACGTCCTTGAACTGAACTACAATATCAGCAGGATATGGCTTTGTTGTTCCTGATATTAAGAGAAACACAAATATCCATTAATTTAAACACACTAGTGTTTTTATTTTTAAACTCTGTGATTTTATAAGATTAGAACTGCTTCGGTATGAAAGGATTTTCTCTGTACAGGTCCTGGAAAGTGTCCTATCATGGTATGATGCATGGACTTGTTTGTTTCTATGTATTATGTATGTAGTGTGGAGCTAATTGAGTATATTCACTCATATTGGCTAATTCGGCATAACCATCTGACCCAATTCATTAACACAATTCAAGAAGTTTTTAGAGAGCATCAAATATATGTAAACACTGTGTTAGGTGCTGTATGGAACATAGGAATTAAGAGAAAAAAGAAAGGAAATGAGAGAAAGGAAGAAGGAAGAGGGTGGGATAAAAAAGAAGGAGGTGAAGCAAGAAAAGAGGGAGAACAAAGAAAATGTGTCCATGAAGATGAAGGTAAAGAGGAAAAAAGTTGCAAAAAGGGAAGGAGAGAAAGAAGAAAATATTTATTCAACAGCATTGTGCTAAGCAATGATACTTTATTTCATATATTTTGTACATCAGTTTTGAAAGATGTGTTACTACCTTGATCTTACAGAGAAGAAAATACGCTCAGCGTGGTAAAATACATTTTTTAAGATCACAAAGATACTGTGTACATCACACTCAGCAAGAAAGAGACAAATAGGTATACAAGGACCTGAATTACAAGCCAAAATAAAATAAGTGGTCTGGAAGAGTGGCAGCCAAGGAGGATCACTGGCAGTGTGCAGGGGCTATGAGAATTTCAGGCAGGATGGCATTTGAGCTAGACCAGTTTAGGGTGAGGAAATTGCATATTATGACAAACCTCCAGGAGTAGACAGGGAAAGAATAAAGGTCTAGGAACTCAAACAACGTTGAAGTATATGTAGTTGAAGATGATATTTGAATCCACAATCTGAAAGGCCTGAATATGTGACATTAGAGACTTTGAGACTAATTTCCTCAGTAGGTAACTACCAATGGGTTTTAGAAAGAGGAGTAATATAAATCTTACCTTTGGTTTAAGTAGAGGACCTTGTTGGCATTTTTAAACGATGGAGCATGGAGAAAAAAAGGTCTTCAAGAGTCAGAGATCTAAGAAAGGCTGATTCATTAATCAAGGCAAAGCAAGTAAGGGTCTGAACTAGGGCACATCTACAACAGTTGGAACAAAAGGGAAAGAACAGATACAAGTAGTATTTTAAAGGTAGAAGCAACAGGACAGACACTTGGATGAATGTTTCTCAAGGTGTAGAAAAAAGACCCAATTCATCAGAATCACCTGGGATGCTAGTTGACCCTACAGATCTTCCTGGCTCTGATCCCAGGCCTGCTGAATCAGTATCTCTGGGTTCTACATTTCTCTCAAACTGTACTGGTTCTTACATGCTAATTTAGAACCACTGGATTAGCTGCCTTGAATATCAGGGGGAAAGAGGAGTTGAGGATTAAAAATGCTACTCTGAGTTACTAGAAATATCTCATTACTAAATGAGATGAAGAACAAAAGAGGAGGTGCTTTAGAGGAGTGAAAGCAGGTGTGTGTGGAACACTCTGAGATTAACATAGTTCAGTGCCGTCTGAGTGGCAAGATAACTAGAATTAAGATCAAAACCAAATTACAGGAAATGTTTTGGAGATGTGAATTTGGAGTCATCTGCACAGAGCTACTGTTGAAAATGTGTACATGGATGAAAATATCCAGGAAAAGATTAGAGAGAAATGGAAGGATATTGGGTAGAGGCAGGTGAGAGATTAGGAGAATGTGGAAGGAATAAGGGAAATTATGAGAAGGGATATATCAAGACAGGCAGAAGAGATTGACAGTGTCAAAGTTCAAATAGAATGAGGACTAAAAAATGTCCTTTGGATTTGGTAAATAGGAAGGCATTGTGATTATTCAAGAACTGTTTGCCCTGAATAGAAAACAGTAAGCAGAGGAAATGAGGTAGGGTCGAGTTTGAATATTCAGATTAGAACGGGAATAAGTAATCTAGTGAAGTCCCTGAATGAATCAAATGAGATGTGAACCAGAGCAACTGGAATAGTTAGCTTGAGCAGGAGGAGAAACATTTCTTCCATTGAGAGAGGAAGTAAGAAAATAAATTTAAGAGCTGAATTGCTTGTACATTTCTCGGGGAGAATAGGGAAGATAGTCAAGGGATATTTTGCATGATGGCTCCTTTTCACTCTAACCTAGAGTGTGAGAGCATCCCCCAAGAGTAGGAAGGGAAAAAAAGAGTCAGAGTCAACACACAGTTATAGAATACCAAGTATATGGCCACTGTCTTGAGGAGAGTAATAACAGTGGACTCTTATGATATTATGGCACTTTCTCCATTGTCATATAATTTTTAGAGGTAGAGGCAGGAGCTAAACTTAAGTCTGTCAACTCTGAAGCTGGTATTTCCCCAGAAGCTTGAACTCAGTGACCTGAGCACAGAGGCAGGTCTGGGATAGAACTACCATATTTTATACAAGTAACACGTGCATTATGTGTTTTTTGCCAACCATGCAACCTCCTCACACATTATTTTCCTAGGAGCGCTATGCACGTTTTTGTGTGCGTATTATTTGTGAAAAAAATATAGTAATATAAAGTAACCAAATGTATCATGACCTGATTTTCTTGGGAGGGGATGCATTAAGAAAAGAGGGGTAGTTCAATTGGAGCCTGGATAAAGGCCAATCAGCATGTCAGTAGTTATCTAACATGGTGCCACAGTAGCAGCATCCTATGTAACAAAGGCCATTTATTTACTTAGTTGCTTCATATAAATACCCTTGCCATGGCGTTGATTCTGATTCATAGTGACCCTATATGATAGGGTAGAATTGCTTCATAGGGCTTCCAAGGCTGTACTCTTTATGAAAGCTGACTGCCACATCTTTCCCTCAGGAGTAGCTGATGGGTTGCAACCGCTGACCTTTTGGTTAGCAGCCAAGCACTTAACTACTGCACCACGAGGACTCCTTTTCACGTAAATAATCCCTGTAAAATATCAAAATAATCAAACTGGCTTTTCCCCTATATTCTGCAGTTATTAGGGTTTGCTTTGATCCAATCATTTATTCTTCTTCATAAACTTACTAAGAAGTAGAAATGACCAGGAATCAAAAAGCAGATGCCAGTCACTCCAATTGTAACCATTATACTGGCAGTTGGCTAATGAATCAGTCCTCTGTGCATTTTTCTGAGCTAGAGACAGCTACCCTGAACTTGACCATTTTATGGCAATTTCATTATATGAATCTGCCTGAGCAGTCAGCTAGTCTTCTCATTGTAGTAACTGTACCATACACACACAACCTTGCAAATATAGAGAGTACCAAATACAATACTTACGTTCAGGTAGTGGAATGAGTGGTATAAACTTGCTGAACACACTCTTCGTAATAGAAGGACTGGATACAAAGCATGAGTAATTTCCTTTGTCGGATGCCTCCACATTTGCAATGTAGAGATTGCCATTGGTCTGCGACACAAATCTTCGTTTATCCATTGTGATAAATACAGGAAACTCATTTAGAAGCCAGCGGTAGCTAAGATCATCTAGAAGAAAATATTATCTACTAAATATTAAGCTCTTCTCCAAAAGTAAAGTTTTATTTTCTAATAATAAACTATCACATAATCTAATCTAGGCTATTGGAGAGCAAATGTTGGAAGTAGGCCAAGACAAATTTAGTAGAAATTTTCTAACAGCTACCATATTTTGAGTGCATGGAAGCACTGTGCTCAGCAATTATATCTATTTATTTATATCTCTCTATTATTTTGTGGACTATTAATATTACTTCTTACATTTCACTGATGGACAAAAGAAGACTCAGAAAGATCAAATGACTTGTTTAGAATTTCATGGTCCTTAAGTAGAATTAGAATTTTGAATCCAGGTCTTACAATTCCAGGGCCCATAATCAGTCTGCCCTATTGCAATTTAAAAATAAAATCAAGATGATTAACCATAATGTGGCTTTTTCCTCTTTTTATTGCTATTTTAAATTATAGATTTAGAAATGAGTCTACGTAACCTGTTGTGGTCATATTAAAAAGTGAAAACCACAGAAACAAGGAAAAAGCATGTTACTAGTTGTCTTAAATATTAAAAAGTATATCATATGGTAACTCTTAACCACAGGAAACTCTTAACACACTAGCTGGTTAGGCTGAAAATTGAATTTCCTCATTAATTTCCTGCTTTTCATATAGTTTTCTATCCTTTGTCTCTCCTCCCAGGAACACCCCAGTACTCTTTTCATTAATGCCAAAAGGGAAATATAGATAATGCATACTTCTTGATCACAAAATTATGATTCCTCTTTAAAACAGTGACCTCACTGCCATGAAGATAATACCATGAGTGTTGTGATAGCTGCCTTGCCTCTCTGATTAAGTTTCAGACTTAATGTTGACAACAGTTAAACTCAGATCCAGTTCTTATAGGGACTCAGTGGACTATCATTTTATCCATGTTTTTTCTAGTCCCTTGCAGATGATAAAATCAACAATCTCTGAAAAAACCAACATCTGTTTTCTACACAGCACTATTGACTGGATTAAATAATAAATTACTATAAAATTAATTTTTCAAAAAGAGTAAGTACCAGCACCTGTGTAAGAAATGGTGCTTTGACTGATAGATGTCTGAGACCTCTTTCCTTTGCCCCAGGAGCATGTGGACCATATTACCAGGAACATTTGTTTTGGTTAACTACAGTACCTTTTGGCTACTTTCATTACATTACTTTGAAATACATCATTTATTTAACCTTGCTAAATAATGTATCTTTCTCCTTCAAATACATTTGAAGTAACTTAGTATGCCCTGGAGGAATAATTTGCAAACTTTTCAGAAGACTTGTATGCTTTCTTTTTTAAATTAACCACAGCACAACAGAATTTACTTATACCAATAGGTAACTATAGCTTCTTATTAGTGCTTTGATATTCACAGAAAATTATACTTTCAACCTATTTAAAAAGAAACTTATACCAAGTTATACTGTGAGATAATGTATTCCCTATGACACTCTTTCATTTTTGTGCTTTTTTAATCTATTGAGATTCTTTTATGATCATATTCAATATTCCAGCAGTTATTTTTCTTGAGTACTCTTACTGTCTTATTCATTTTTAAATCCATACATACATCTATTATTAAGTATTTTGAATTTTGTTAATAGTACACATCCTTCAAATGATGGACTTTTTTTCCTCTACTCTCTCTCAATATAAACATACATGATATATATTTTTTGAGATGTGACAATTCAACTTATGATGGTTATATTGACAGAAAATTAGGTGAAAATAAAGCATTATGTTTTCATTTGTGCGTCTAGGAGTTTAAGAAGTGTTACACATTCATGAGCTATTTGTTCCAATGCAATAAAAAAAATCTAAATAGGTATATTTACCTTTCTATGAAAATATAACCCCTACAGTCCATCAATTTAATGAATACATTCTGTGCTAGGCATTAGATACTCAGTTGTATAACAAATGTTGTTATAATTGAATAAACATTTGTAGTGAAATACACATTTGTGATTGTTCCTGATAAGTAAGTAAAGTAAGTAGTGTGATCTCCTTTAAATGAAATTGTGGAGCACCCAGAATCATAGAAAAACATAATAACTTTGGAAAGATTAGCCTTTTCCTTCTAGATCTTTTTCATGTACATAAATGAGAGAGAAAACATTTCTATAATTATGAATCTTCAGTGTACCCAGTAAAGAGAACTATGAAAAGGATATCAGGAAAGCAATACTATTTATAATAACCCCTAAAAAAATAAAATACTTAGGACTAAATCTAACCAGGGACAAAAAGGACCTATATAAAGCAAATTACAAAACACTACAGCAAGAAACCAAAAGAGACAGATATAAATGGAAAAATATACCATGCTTATGGATACATAGACTCAACATTGTGAAAATGTCAATTCTACCCAAAGCCATCTTCAAATACAATGCAATCCCAATCCAAATACCAACAACATTCTTTAATGAGATGGAAAAACTAATCCTTAACTTTATATGGAAAGGAAAATGGCCCCAGATAAGTAAAGCATCATTGAAAAAGAAGGAAAAAGTGGGAGGCCTAGCAATACTTGACCTCAGAACCTACTATACAGCTATGGTAGTCAAAATAGCTTGGTACCAGTATGATAACATATTGATCAATGGAACAGAATCGAGAACCCAGATGTAAATCCATCTGCCTACAGCCACCTGGTCTTTGACAAAGGCCCAAAGTGCATTAAATGGGGGAAAAGACAGTCTTTTTAACAAATGGTGCTGGCAAAATTAGATATCCATCTGTAAAAAAAGGAACATATACCTTACACCACATACAAAAATTAATTCCAAATGGAGCAAAGACCTAAATATAAAACTACAAACTATAAAGATCATGGAAGAAAGAACAGGGTCAACACTAAAAACAATACAAAACAAAACAAAAAACCATTGCCGTCGAGTCAATTCAGACTCATAGCAACCCTATAGGACAGAGTAGAACTGCCCCACAGGGTTTCCAAGGAGGGCCTGCTGGATTTGAACTGCCAAACTTTTGGTTAGTAGCTGTAGCTCTTAGCCACTACACCACCAGGGTTTCCTGGTCAACACTAGGGGCCTTAATATATGGTATAAACAGGATACAAACCACAATTAACAATACACAAACACCAGAAGATAAAATAGATAAATGGGATCTTCTAAAAATTAAACACTTATGCTCATCAAAAGACTTCACCAAAAGAGTAAAAAGAGAACCTACAGACTGGGAAAAAATTTTTGGCTACAACATATTAGATAAGGGTCTAATCTCTAAAATCTACAAGATACTGCACCACCTCAACAACAAAAAGACAAATAACCCAATTTAAAAATGGGCAAAGGATATGAACAGCCACTTCACCAAAAAAGACATTCAGGCAGCTAATAGACACATGAGGAAAGTCTTGTAATCACTAGCCACTAGAGAAATGCAAATCAAAACTACAGTGAGATACCATCTCACCCTGACTCTACTGGCACGAATCAAAAAAAACAGAAAATAACAAATGCTGGAGAGGTTGTGAAGAGTTTGGAACTCTTTTGCACTGCTGGTGGGAATGCAAAATGGTACAACCACTTTGGAAAATGATACGGCACTTCCTTAAAAAGCTAGAAACAGAAATACCATATGATCCAGGAATCTCACTCCTAGGAACATATCTTAGAGAAATAAGACCCATCATACAAATAAACATCTGCACACCCATGTTCATTGGAGCATTATTCACCATAGCAAAAAGATGGAAACAACCTAAGTGCCCATCAACACATGAATGGATAAACAAACTATGGTACATACACACAATGGAATACTATGCAACGATAAAAAAACAATGTGAATCTGCAAAACATCACTGGATGAAAAACAATGGATGAATCTGGAGGACATAACGCTGAGTGAAATAAGTCAATCACAAAAGGGCAAATATTGTATGAGACCACTATTATGAAAACACAGGAAAACGTTTCCACACAGAAAGAAAAAATCTTTGATGGTTACGAGGGAGGGGAGGGATAGGAAGGGAAAAATACTAACTAGATAGTAGGTAAGAGGTAACTTTGGTGAAGGGTAAGGCAATACACAATACTGAGGAAGGCGGCACAACTTGACCAGGGCAAAGCCACAGAAGCAGTAGAAATATTAATTAGAAAAAAAAAATCTTCAGTGTAGTAAAATGTACTTCACTTACTTTAATAATAATGGATACAAAATATTAAATGTATTAAAATATATTTTATTTATTTTAAAAATAATCTCTTTAAAATACATATCCATTTTATCATTTTCAAACATATTATTTAATTTAATGCTTAACACAAGGTCTGTAATGTAGGTGGCACAGGAATTATTATTCTAAATTTCAACAAGAAAATACAGATGTAGAGAGTTTAAGTGGCATACCTATGTTTATTTGACATAATAAGGATAGAATTCCAGGTTACCAGATCACCAACTAGAGCAATAGGGCTTGATAGCCATAAGAGGTTACATAAATAATCTTCTAAGGTAGATTCATTTGTCCCCTCATCTCAATGAAGTTCTAAGTTGCAAAGCACAAAACCTTAACTTACCCGCATTAAGGAGGTAGGAAAATTTACGACAAGGAGTTGATAAAAAACAGTACACACACACACTATGGTTTTGAACCATATGTTTATTCTTGTATTTGAAGGTGGAATGTCTAATGTTCGAAGAGATTATAAAGCTAATAGAAGGACATCATGCTTGGTCAGCGAAAAAGAGGAAGACCCTCAACGAGATGGATTAACACAGTGGCTGCAACAATAGGCTCGATTATAGCAACGATTGTGAGGATGGCCCAGGACCAGGCAGTGTTTCATTCTGTTGTACATAGAGTCACTGTTTGTTGGCACCTAACAACAAATGACGTAAACTGACAGGTGATGGAGAGCTGTTCCATCTATTCTGCGATTAATAGTGTTTCTTGGACTCATTTAGCAGGCCAACTTAGATTTTTTTCATGTCGATTTATATATCTTTAGTGGAATGGAGAGCAAATTAACCCTTTTGACTTAAGAGTTTTTAGCTTCTACCCATATAGAGAAAACAAGAACCTTGTTTTGGTCCATGAAATTCTTTGCTGAGCACAATGGTCAAGATGCTATACAGACTGTGAAAGCAAGCGTTAGATAAATCTCAGAACCTGTTCCTTAGACCCTTTCCCCTTTCTATCTACACAGATTCCCTAGATGATAACATATAGTCCCATGACTTTTAAAACAACTTATATAATGATGACTCACAAATTGATATACCTAACTCAGACCTCACCCCTGAATTCCACACCCATATACAGAACTTTCAACTCAACAGCTCCATTTGAAAATATAATAGACACCTCATACATAACACATCCACACTGATTCTTTCAGCTTAGGTAATGGGGGCTCCATTCTTTCAGGAGTTCATGACAAAAATTTTGATGCCATTCTCGACTCCTGTATCTCTCTTGTTTATCACACAAAGTCTACCATCATGTTCTCTTTGCTCCTCCTTCAAAATATATCCATAAATTACCCACTTCTTCCCGCTTTTACTTCCACTACTCTGATCCAACATATGCTGCCTCGATTATTGCAATACCTCCTAAATGATCTCCCTGCTTCTGCCTTGCCCTACCCTCGGTTCTTTCATAAAACAGTAGCTACAGTCATCTTTCTATAACTTAAGCCATGCCATATAACTCCTCTGCTCAAAGCCCTGTGATATAAATCTCACTCAAAGTAAAAGTCAAAGTAATTACAGCGACTAACAAAGCCCTACATCATTCAGTTCTTGTACCTCCCTGATTTTGTTTCTTACTACCCTCTTATTCACTCTATTCCAGCCATCCTCACTTCCTTGGTCTTCCACTACAGTCCCATCAGGCCTTTGCAATGACTATTTTCTTTCCCTCAAATACCTATTGTTAGCTCCTTCATTTCCTTCAGGTCTTTACTCAAAATTACCTTCTCAGTGATATCCTTTCTAAAAATTCAGCCATTCCCCTCAATATTTCCTCTCCCCCTTCTCCACTTAATTTTTTTCTCCTTAGCACTTATCTATCAATATTTAACATGCTATATATTTTAATTACTTGTTTATTGCCTGTCTCTCTCACTAGAAGAGTCCTAGGGCGGGGGGAATATATATATATATCTCCTCTCATACACACACACACACACACACACACATATGCATGTATATATGAACCAGATCAATGTATTGCACACAAAATGACTTAGAGCATACATTTAATGTCAAATTAATGACATAATATTAGAAATACAAGAATACAAAACATGTATTTTCTTTAAATGGGAAAAGTGGTATTCACATATTATTTCAGTGGAATATTTGATAAATTAAGAGATGTGGAAATTAGTGAGAGTATATTAAGCTTTCATCTTTTATATTAGTACTTTGGTGACTACCATTTTAGCCATATTAAGTTACAAAAAACATATCTTCAAAGATTGAAACTTGTGACCGATGCCACTTAATATAGTCCTTTTTCTAAACTGGATGATTATTCTTGCAGATTGGTGCTCCTAAAGAGATTAATAACTTATGATGTCTTTATCCTTTTTAGTGTTTAATTACAGTTCATAATATACAGCAGATGTTAAATTGTTAATAAAATGACTGATGACTGATTATATGTCATTCCTTGATACTGTTCTATTTCAGGAATAATTTCCAGAAAGGCTGTCACATTGTCTCCTATGTAACTGGAACTTTAATGAGGATATAACCCAACATATATATCATTTATAAACTGAAACAGTTATAGATCTTTAGAATTAGGGTCAAGTGACAAAAGAGCCAAGAAAGGAAGGATCTATAACACTAAAGAGTGATGTATTATCAGGTTATGCAAATTGAGACTCATTCGATTATAAATGTACCTTATTATTAAGAAAACAAAAACTTTCCCATTTTGTTTTATAGATGCATATAGTTACAGAGGAACTAAGTTTACCTGGAAAATGGTATGGAGGATCACAGAGAAGCACCATTCCTTTTCCCTCTTTAACTCTGACCTCAGGACGTTCCTCGGGTGGGAAAGGATCAAGATCTAATTATGAAAGGAAAAAAGAAAGCATTTGTTTTCTGGTCAATAGAAATAAAGGCATTCATTAAATTTTACCATTCAGCAACTAACTCATTTGTAGATATAGCATTTCTCCATTGGTTAGTGAAGCCTATGAGAGTCAACTGTTTGTTCTCACATGCTGAGGTTTGCATGCACTATGGAAAAGTTCGCTGGTGAACTCAAAGCCTGTGGATATAGATAGCAGCCAGCATAGTATTCTGGCAGCCCTGAAGATTTCAAATACCCTAAAGACTTTTGCTTCAGATTTTGGAAGAATCTCAGTAAAGTTATCTGAAAATATAATGGACTCAGACAAAACCAGAGATCTATCTAAGAAACGAAGTATAGAGGAATGGACTCATTTGAATGGTATACTTCTCAAGAGAAGACTTGGATGTTTGGAAGAAATAATGTAAAAGGCAAGACTCTAGATGGGGAACTTAAAGGTCACCAATTTCCTTTCTTTTTCAAATTCTGGGATTTCCTCAGTTTTCATTCCTTTACTCAACTTTGTACGTATTTGGGGTTCATATTTAGCTTGATTCCTTGATACTCTACTTTCGATTCTTCAGTTGTTTTACTGATGTTCATTCTGTGTCAGTCCTGCCCCTCCTCCTGTCTCTTATCTGTCATCAGTTCTCAAGCTGTGCTATCTAATTTTTACTCCTCTCCATAGACTGTACACCTCTGAAAAATCATCTATTATAATTGTTATCTCCTTGCAGAGGGCCCTTCAATCCTACATCTCCAGCATGATGCTTCAGTTGAATGCTGGCCCCTCTCCTCAAACGCCTGCTTGACATTTCTGCTTGGATAACTTAATGCCGTCATAACCTCTGCATGTGAAATAACCCTTTAAATTCCTCCCAGCCTTGAAATTGGTTTTACTTCCTCACATCCCCTTTTTAATGAGAGCAGAATGTTTCTGCCCTTTAACTAAATTTTACTTGAAAAATATTTAGTGGTCTTCTTTCCTTCAGTGCAAAGCAATCTGTCAAGTATTTCTTTAAGGTTTTGTATGTATTATTAACATTCGCACTGTTACAACACTAACAGGAGCTGACTGCTCTAGCTGACTGTCTCACTCCCTCCTGGTAATCACTACCACATAGGTCTTCTTAAACGTCATTTTCATTCTATAATTCACTTAATGAAAGTTTTCAATGCTAATTCATAAAATCACATACTAGAAATTGTCTGGTCCAACCCCTCCTTCAACGTATAAATTTCCTTCAGAGCAACCTCTAATTTTTAGCTTAGCACAGTGTTCCACAAAGTATTTTTCACTATTTCCCCATAAGAATGAAACGTTAATTTAAAATAATTAAATTAATTAATTAAATTTCTTCTAACAAGATAATTAAATATTCAGGAATATGATTTTATCAGGGAGGGTTTGAGACTTGGAGGGCCACAACTGTTATGTTGCAATATCTAAGATGCTTCCTCCCCTCAAAAACCAATTTTTACCCTGTTGAGGGTGATATTCCTCATTGAGAATGCATGGTTTAGCTCTTCCACTGATACTAGTTTTTCAGGAGCCGTTCGAGAGCTTTTAGAATATGCCTTAGTTTACTTTCCAACATTATCTTGTACTACTTCAAGTATATTCAAAATACCCCTCAGGATAATTTGCTCTCGAGTTTTTATTCACCACACAATTAAAGCCCACTCATGTTATAAGACCCACCACATTCACAGAACCTTCTCCTCATATTCCTTTCTTCTTAATTTTTTTCTGCTTGATAAACTCTTATAACAGCATTTATTGATACTCACTTTGAAGGCCAAACTTCCTTATATTTTATTTAAAGCTTTCATGTGTATATGACTTGTTTCACTACCAACAAAATGCAACCTGATTGTGGGAATGGAATATGTCTTCTTTAATATCTCACACAATAAGCACTCAGTAAAATTTGTTGGAATGTTGAGGCAGGAGAGATCATTGTCACTGAGAGAGGTAAATGGAAGTATTTTAATAGAAGAGAAAAATCCAAGAGTAGGGAGTTGCAAATTTACCATTCTAGTTTATGTAGATTGCTGTCAGTAATTAAAACACATGTAATTCTTACTTCACCTAAACACACAAACCATTTTTTTAAAGTAACAATTACTTACATCCAAAACTTAAGGTGGCTTCGGTGCTCCTCACCATCCCATAGTTATTTGATGCTAAACAGTAGTATATTCCAGCATCTTTCTGCTTGTCAGGGTTGTTGATGACGAGGTTTCCTCCTACCATACTGTACCGATCACTTGTCAGATCAATATCCCCATTATTCATTCTCCATCTATGAGAAAAAGGAACAAATGTCATATTAAAGGTTACAAGGCCTGCAGACAGTGTATGGATCATCATCCTAAAGTAATATGGGTTCAGCTACATCTGAAGTCAGATGATTAAGTAGATCACTCAAGGTGGTATTTCTTCACACCCTGTAATTCCATGTCCCTGAGCTCTTAATTTATAATTTAGCTCAGGCACAGAAAGGTAAATGCTAAAGTGCATGACATATTTCCTCTTTTTTTCATGATGTATCACAAAGGACAAATATTCCATTGGGTTTTGCCCCATAAATTTATTTCTTAGCAGTTATAAGTAGATTATAAATGATAACCACCTATGAACTAGATATATAAATATATAATATTAAAGCATCACTATAAGAGAAATAAAATATAAAATGTCAATATATGATACTAAATATTAAAGTAATTTTTCAATAAAGTGAACATAATCAGGATCCTGCACAGTAAATAGCACATTCTGACCACTAGAGGGCGATCACACAATTTGAAAATGATAAAAGTCTGTGGGACCTATCGGTTACTAAGTCACAAATATACTAGTAAAACACGGTTTTCTTCGGCCTAGAGTTAATTCTCACTTGGGCCTTTCAGATTATTTATTCTTGATAAAGGGAATTTGTTTTCCTATCACATATCCAAAACAACCAAAGTGAGACATGTTGCAGGTAATCAGACCCGTAATTGACAGAAATTGTGTTATCAATAAAGTAACTAGCAATGGGCTCTAACTTTCCTGGTGAGATGGGAAGAATACATGTATAAAATAGTTTCTAATTAAGATGACCACATTCAGGATTTTATAACATTCTGGATTAAGGTTTATCCTTTAAGGTTTGACAAATGGCCTGTGTCTTAGTGACAGCTTTGCTCATTGCCTGGCACATTTCTGATCAAGATATAAATCTTGCCAAAAGAGAGTATCTTTTGCTAAATGAAAATTACTACAACGTTTTCAGTTTTAATTTCTTATAGTATACAAGGTAATTTATGCTTCTTTTAGAAGCGTAGAAAACTGTGCTTTTGCATTTTTTAAACCTACCAAATTTCCAGAGAATAATCCCCTTCCCCCAAACGATGACCATACGGGTCCCTGCTTGAACCATCCAGAGTCAAGTTGCTTAGGACTTGTCAAGGCAGTGGATTTCCTTGTTGGGCAGCTCCAACTGTTGATTTTTTTTTTTTTTTTAATTTTTCATTATGTTTCCCCCCAATTTTTATGTGTTGCCTTAACTTCCTCCCAATGGATTGATTTTACCTTTTACTTCACAGGATGATTCAGTTTTGCTATGTTTGGGTAGGTTCACTGGTTTGTTTTCAGGGGCATACACCATCCCTTTAACACGGCCTTGAGTACAGTTTTTATTGTAGTTCTTGTTACTTTGGGGGCCTGAACAAGATAATGGAAGAGTCATAGCCACAAGGCTGGTAAGTAGGAAGTCAAATTCCCTGTTGTACTTCTCAGGATGTTGCCATGAATACCAAATTATCACAGAATATGCTACAAATATAAAACTCTTGTGTGAATGACAAATTTTGCATGACCGAGGTTAGCATAGCTTGCCCTGAATATTAAGGGAATTTTAAACAATTTGAGGTGTTCTTTTCCATCAGAAAATCTGCATTATGAGACGAATTTTTAGGCTGTCAAAAGCAAGCTGCCTTCATAACAGGATGAAATATCTACTTCTCTCTTTTGGCCCTCTATATTAACGTGTGGATAGTCAGGCCAAATATGCCCTGGGAACTTCAGTGCTTGGGCAAATTTTGGGAAGGGCTCAGTGATATATTTGCCAAGAAAAGCTTTGCTTCTTACTGTGCCTATAGAGGGAAAGGGTAGGGCAAGGAGAAGCACAGCTGTGGATATTTCTAGAACACCGTCCGAAAACAACCCCTTCTGTTTTGTAGACTTCATGCCAGCCTGGAGGCTGATTTCTAAGGTTCCATGTATGAATGTCAAAGACAGAGTGTCACAGAATAAGCATGAGTGAAATAGATTTTGAGACTCTATCGACCTATCTAGATATATAAACCTGTTGCTGTTGAGTTGATTCTGACTCACAGCAACCCTATAGGACAGAGTAGAACTGTCCCGTAGGGTTTCCAAAGCTGTAATCTTTACAGAAGGATATTGCCATATCTTTCTCCCACAGAGTAGCTGGTGGGTTGGAACTGCCAACCTTTCAGTTAGCAGCTGTGTGTTTAATCACTGTGCCACCAGGCCTCCTCATCTAGATATACACATACTGAAAAAATGATGTCTCTTTTGAAGTCATAAAACATGTATTTCTGTCCTGAATCTGTGATTGACTAGCTCTTGAGCAAGACAATTTACTTATTTATGACTCAACTTCCTCTCCTGTAAAATTATGTGCTTGGGTTATATCTCCTCTACAGCCCCTATTAATTATGCTATCCTATGTTCATGCCTATGTGCATGGGCTTTTAAAACTTATGGCTTCCAGATAGAATTAAGTTTATTCCATCAATTATTTTCAAAACAAAAATGTTATTTATAATTTATAAAATATCTACTTACGTTGCACTTCCATGCATGAAATTGAAATGATAAATCCAATTTCAAAGGGATGGTGATTTTGTGTCCAAATATGTATTTTAAGGAATAATTTTGTAATTATAGCCAGAGGCAAGAGAAAATTAGTAATTAACTAGAGTGGGAGGCAGTGGTGGAAATATTGCCTTTGATAATAACTTTTTGTAACAATGACATTTCTTTTTCTATCCAGAAAACAAAAATCTACTATTAAAATTAACCTTGTTGAGTGACAACTTTCAATTAATTCAGAAGACACTAACACACTAGAGACTCAATTTCCTCATCAATCACTTTCTTTGTCTTCTTGGAACCATTTGACAGGTGAAATTTAAATCCATTGGCATTTGGTTAATTTTTTAATCTTATTCTTTGTGTCAGACAAGATGTTAGTATACTTTTCTAACCTAACTGAAGCAAGAAAGTCCATGGTTTCTTTATATAAAGTTATTTTTGATAGCATCAGTATGCAATATAGACAAACAGAAAGAGATAAGAGATTGTCTTCAATGTAGAGAAAATTAAGAAACATGGTATGTTTTCTGGAATATAGATTTGAGACTATTGGGAAAAAAGTGGTAGTCTCTAGAATTATCTATATAAGCTCTTTAAATATAGTTCATATATATGTGTGTGTGTGTGAATTAATGTCCATCCTCTATATTATCCATCATCTATAGGTATGAGTTATCCAGGTCAAAGCATATAATAATATTTTTCCTCAAATCTCTATATTTAAATTGTGCATGATTTTTATACAACCTTTTGAATGCTTGGAGCCCTGGTGGCATACTGGTTAAGAGCTATGACTGCTACCCAAGAGTTTGACAGTTCAAATCCACCAGTCACTCCTTGGAAACCCTATGGGGCAGTTCTACTCTGTCCTATAGGGTCACTATGGGTCGGAATTGAATCAGTGGCAATGCGGTTTGGTTTTTGCATGCTTAATAATGTGATCTCCATCAGAAGATTTTTAAATGAATAATGTCAGATGTCACTGGCATTACCTGAGGCTGTGCAGGGAATAGTAAATGAGTTACTTGCATACGCTCAAGAAAACACGTTATCTATTTGGCCATTAGACAATTTTTTTTTTTAATAGTTTCTATGCCAATATTTTTGTTCATGTCCATGGACTTATATCTTAGCTTTTATCTGTCAGAATAGTGTCATAAATGTTGATTTGTAATCTTTAGTCAGGCATTCCATTCTGAAAAGAGCAGTGAGGTACATTACTTGTAAACTGGGAAAGGGCTGGCTCGTGCCCTACAGTTTAGTGAAACTTTTCCTTCCGGTGATTCCTCTGGATAAACAGTATTGACGGGTTGCTCTTCAAAAATTGGTCCAAATCCTTTGTCTTCCTCAGAAACTACAAGATAAAAATAAAATTATTTTACAGTGTGCTGTTTTATAAGTTAGATAAAATTTGGATAAATTGAAAAAGGTTATTTAAAAAAATGTTTGAAAAACAAAATCGCACTTTTCATTTAAAACGTAAGTATTTTCCTCCACAACTCGAAGGAAAACTTTCAGGTTCGTCATTTAAAATTCTTCTCTGTTCATCTCCCATCATGTCCCCCAGAAGTACCTTGTGTTTTAGTCATGCTTAACTTTTTGCTCTTCCTCAGACAAGCCATGCTTACATGCCTCTGATCTTTTGCACATGCTATTCCTTTTTCTGAAATCACCGTCCCACTTTTCTCCTACTATCAAACTTTGTACAGTCCTTTATGACCTACCCATAGAATAAGTTTCTTCATATAGCCACCTATGACCCCTCCTGCTGTAGGTAGCCCTCTTCTATGTTCCCATAACTCCCTATACAAGGTATGGTACTTAAAACACCTATTGCGATAATGAATGTAACTTTCTCTTCTACTACATTGCAAATGCTTGGGGATAGGCTGCTATGTACACAACTCTCTTGCTAGCTATCTAGTATTTTGGAACAAGCTAGGTGCTTAATAAATAGACAGATGAGTTCCAAGATGTTGTGAGAAAACTGGACCCTTTCCCGGATCAGTTCTTATTTAGTTTTCTCTAAACATGTGATTGGCACTGGTACTCAGAAACATCTAGAACAATCAATAAACAAATTACATGGACATGTGATCTGATCAACTGGTTTCAAATCCATCACAAACATCGACCCACATTGGGAAGCCATTGTTCCTGGCAGTTTATCCTCTCTGGAAGGGAAGAGTGACACCTCATGTTACGATGAGGAGAAGGGAATCATTTACATGTCACCAATGTGGCAGCATTTACAGAGGCAGTTAAAAGCCATATGTCCCAAATGAATCAATAATAATCTATATGGCTAGAAAGCGGGGAGCATTCTTACATGGGGTCATTGGAATGACCCTGCTACATCAAAGCCATGGTCCACACCTTCAAATTATTTTTAAGATAAATTTTTAAGCAAATGACATGCAGACATTTTGTCTTCTCTAACATCAACCATATCCATACTTATGCCTATACAAAAGGTGATCCAACCAAATGTGGAAATTATTGAATAATATCATTAATATCACATGCAAGTAAAATTTTGCTGAAGATCATTCAAAAGTAGCTGCAGCAGTGTATCCAACAGGGAACTGCCAGAAATCCAAGCTGGTTTCAGAAGAGGACATGGAACCAGGGATATCATTGCTGATGTCAGATGGATCCTGGCTGAAAGCAGAGAATACCAGAAAAATGTTTACCTGTGTTTTATTGACTGTGCAAAGGCATTTGACTGTATGGATCGTAATAAATTATGGGTAACATTGCAAAGAACTGGGATTCCCGAAAACTTCTTTCTGCTCCTGAGGAAACTGTACATAAATCAAGAGGCAGTTGTTCAAAAAGAACAAGGGGATATGTGTGGTTTAAAGTCAGGAAAGGTGTGCATGAGGTTTGTATCCTTTCACCATATCTATTCAATCTGTACGCTGAACAAACAATCTGAGAAACTGGACTATATGAAGAAGAATGGAACATCAGGATTGAAGGAAGACTCATTAACAACCTGCATTATGCAGACGACACAACCTTGCTTGGTGAAAGTGAAGAGGATTAAAGCACTTACTGATAAAGATCAAAGATCACAGCCTTTGGGATGGATTACACCTCAACGTAAAAAAAAGAAAGCAAAAATCCTCACAACTGGACCAATAAGCAACCTCATGATAAATAGAGAAAAGATTGAAGTTGTCAAGGATTTCATTTTACTTGGACCCACAATCAACACCCATGGAAGCATCAGTCAAGAAATCAAAAGATGCATTGCACTGGGCAAATCTGCTGCAAAAGACCTCTTTAAAGTATTGAAAAGCAAAGATGTCACCTTGAAAACTAAGGTGCACCTGACCCAAGCCATGGTATTTTCAATCGCCTCATACGCACGTGAAAGCTGGACAATGAATAAGGAAGATGGAAGAAGAATTGATGTCTTTGAATTGTGGTGTTGGCAAAGATTATCGAATATACCACGGACTGCCAAAAGAATAAACAAAAGAAATACAGCCAAAATGCTCCTTAGAAGGAAGGATGGCAAGACTACATCTCACATACTTTGGACATGTTATCAGGAGGGATCAGTCCCTGGAGAAGAACATCATGCTTGGTAAAGTAGAGGGTCAGTGAAAAAGAGGAAGACCCTCAATGAGATGGATTGGCACAGTGGTTGCAACAATGGGCTCAAATATAACAACTATTGTGAGGATGGCGCAGGACCCGTCACTGTTTCGTTCTGTTGTACGTAGGGTCGCTATGAGTCGAAACCGACTCGAAGGCACCTGACAACAACAACATTAGCCTTGAAGATAAAAGCTTTGTTCCAGCTTCCCTTCACTATGTCATTTAAATCTTGCCTGAGATAAGCAAATACATAGAAATCGAAGATTATTAGTGGTTACCCAGGGTAGGAGGGAAAGGGAAAGGGGAAGGTTTTGCTTAGGAAATATTGAGTTTATGTTAATGGTGGTCCAATAATTTGGACAATGATAGTGAGAATAGTTGCACAACCTGAAGAATATAATCAAAGTCACTGAATTTTACATGTAGAAATTGTTGAGTTGGCATATGTTTTATGTGTATTTTCACCACAATTAAAAACAAAATCTTGCCTCATTATTATTTAGCAATGTGTCTTTGGAAAAATTACTTAATCTTTGCAAGCCTCAATATCCTCATTTATAAAGTAGGGATAATAATGGAATCTACCACACAGAATTATTGTGAGAACTCTTAATACACTTAGTAGTGTCCCTGGCATATAGTCAGCAATCAATAAGTGCTGATTTTGTCCATATTCTCATGAGTTTGCTAATTCTTTAAAAATTTAATTTATATTTCTTATATATATCAGCTCATAGACTAATTATGAAGCTTATAAAAGCCAGAAACCAAGCTGTACTGATTCTTGTAGATCCAGTGTGTCATGCATTGAACTGTGTCCCCCAAAAATATCTGTCTACGTGGCTGGGTCATGATTCCCAGTATTGTATGATAGTGTACCATTTTGTAATCTAATGTAATTTCCTTATGTGCTATAAACTCTATCACTATAATCTAATAAAATGGATTAGTGGCAGTTATGTTGACGAGGTCTACGAGATTAGTGTCTTAAGCCAATCTCTCTTGAGATATAAAAGAGAGAAGCGAGCAGTAACACATGGGAACCTCATACCACCAAAAAAGCAGTGCTGGGAGCACAGCGTGTCCTTTGGACCTGAGGTTCCTGCGCTGAGATGCTCCCAGACCAAAGGAAGACTGACGCATCACTAGGACCTTCCTCCAGAGCCGACAGAGACAGAAAGCCTTCCCCTGGAGCTGATGCCCTGAATTTGGACTTGTAGCCTAGTGGACTGTAAGAAAATAAATTTCTCTTTGTTAAAGCCATCCACTTGTGATATTTCTGTTAGAGCAGCACTAGATGACTAAGACACAGTGTTATTAGCATTGTGTTGTTTTGGATTCTCAATACATATTTATTATACAAATAGATGATTAATAGAATACACAAGTTGTTTCCTCAGTATGAAGCATTAATTTCTCCAAACTTGGCCCAAATCTTTCAAAGGTAGATGCTTATTTTTAGTTAGAATTTGCTGAAACTGTCACTCAAAAATTTACAGACCTCAAAAATTCCGTAACCATAGGGTCCCATAGGAAAGTGTTTTCAGATAGGAGATAAATAGATGGGTCAGAATAGAGGAACTATAGGGCCTTAGATTTAGCTCCATTAATGCAGTTTGCTAGCTGTTGTTTTCTGTAAACACTGGTGTTATGGATTGAATTATGCCCCCCAAAGATACATGTTGTAAACCCTAACCTCTATGCCTCTGGTTATTATCCCATTTGAGAATGGGTTATCTTTGTTATGTTAATGAGGCAAGATTAGTGTAGGGTGTATTTTGAGTCAATCTCTTTTGAGATATAAACGGGATTAAATAAGCAAGCCAGCAAGTAGATAGATCGATGCCATGCCACATGAAGATCACCAAGGAGCCAAAGAACAAAGACTTTTCCCCAGAGCTGACACAAACAGAAAGCCTTCCCCTAAGAACTGGTGCCCTGAACTTGAACTTATAGCCTCCTAAACTGTGAGAAAATAAATTTCTGTTTGTTAAAGCCATCCGCTTTTGGTATTTCTGTTATGGTAGCACTAGAGATCTAAGACAACTGGATTCTTTGTTTTAAAAAGGAAGAAATAGGAGTACGTGCCTTAAGGACCTCTTGGACCTACTATACCCCTAACCAAGATCATGAATGTGAGGTGCTCACAGAAGCTCTCTGCTGCTGATTTTGAAAGTCCTGTTCTGAGCTGTCTCTAGTTCAATATTCTTCTTGAGGTTGTGAAAACCAGAGATACGAATATGTTTTCTGCTTTGCTTCTAATACTTTTCTTGATCATGCCCCAAATTTTCTGGCCTTTCAGAATGTAACTACACACCTGGGAAAAATGAAGAATGAATCCCACATCCCTGATAACTTAGAAACTTTCATTTTATATGTAGGGTCTGATTCTCCAATCTCTGAAAAAAAATAACCTTGTGCTTATCTGTGATAAAAGTCATATGCTACTTTTCTTCCAACTTGGACAACTTCATTAAGATCTGCCTTGAGTCTCTCAATTGCACAGCTTTTCTGACTGGGGCAACTTAGTAATACCTGCCAAACTAGAGACCTGTTCTTTCCAATTTCACACAAAAATTCTTAAAAGGACAAGTTCTAGCTGTATAAAGAACAGCACATTTTTATCGATATATTTAGATTCTCTTCTTGAACATGACTTCAATTCACACCTTATTCACTGTTAAATAATTATTTCAGTGTGAAATGTTTGAAATGTTTTTAAAAATATATAGAGAGATTAAATAT